TTTATTATTGTGAGCTGCCCAGAGTCACCCATTGGGGGAGATGGGCGGCATACAAGTTTGATAATAAATAAAATAAATAAAATGACCTATATAAAAATCTAGTTCTGCTTGAGCAATGAACTGAAAGTAGGCACCATGATCTCTTCCTGCCAAAAGCAAAGACCTTACAGTTGTGCAACTTATGCAATGATCATAAGATGGCCTGCTCATCTCTTCAATCTTTCCTATGAGGAACGTGTATCTGCAAAATCATCAAGCCAATTAACTGTCATATACTGGATCCAAGCTACTTAAATCTAAGAATATAATGTAAAGGTTTAAAGAGTCCTTTCAGCTACTATTCAACACTAATTTTACATGCATAATTTTTTCCCCCTGCCGTTTTATAGTATCCAATTATACATGCTGTCCCCTCCATATTAATTGCTAAAGGATGTAAGCAGTGGTATCTTTGAATGATGTTCCTATTTCAAAACAAATGGAAGGAAACCATTGAGCAACATTGGCTAGTGTTTATCTTTGTGATTCATTAAATGTACTATGGATTCTGCAGTGTTAAATCCTTTAATTTGGAAGTCTACCTTGACTTCCATTTTTCATCTCCAAATCAAGTCTCATGTTTTGGCTTGTTAGGAAGCTGTACATAATATGTCTACACTAGTAACACTGTAAAAATCTTTTAAAATACAGTCTATTAAATAGACAAATGTGACTTAAGGTTTTTACAATGTGCGGATTGTGTAGATTCCTTACCTTTCTCTTCATCCTTCTAGCTTCCAGTTTTGCCCCACAGAAGGTATGGAAAAGAAAAGGCAAAAGGTCCAGCAAAGCAAAGCAGAATGATTGAATTAAACCCTCTGTTGCACCTAATGGAATCCCTACTAGTGACTGCACCTCCAGAACAATATAACCATCTTATAAAAGTGGTATACAAGCCAATAAACTACAATTTTCAGTATTATTTCCAGTAATATGCAGTAGATTCACATTCTTTTCCACTTATCTTGTAAAATATAACAATTGTATGGAACAATATGGGAATAAACATCACTTCTCTCTCTTGTTCTTACATATACAGAACAGAAAACTTTCAAAATATCCAATAAAAGCAATATAATCACAAATTAAAATAGAAAAAAATCACTGGGTACATGATTATTTCTAAAATTAATGAACTTAAAATTTTAAGTGGAAAGAAATGAAGGGAAGAGGTTTCCAACACTTCATTCATACTGAACCTTTCTTCCATTGCACTGATAAAACCATGAAGTGCACTTTCATAAAATTGTGTACCAAGTAACTAGGGTTATAATTTTATACTGATTTTTGGGTTTCTATACAAAGTGCAGAGATTTGACTTAACACACTTTTTAATATCTCTACTGTAGTGGAGTTACAGACTAAAATTAAGAGACCAATCTTCTGTAAAACAATCTATTTTTTACAGATGAAAGATTTCCTTAAAAACAATATTTTTCAGCTAAACCTTGTCATTCATTTAGAAGTTACAGTTTACCCAGTGCACATACAAAACCTCTAAATGTGAAAGTATTGAATAAAGTGCCCAGCAGAAGGTAATTCCTATTAAATCAAAACACTGAACAGTCTTAAAGCACTGGCAAAGAGAATAACACAACGTTGAATGCAAAAATACTGCAAGTTAACACCAACATGTCATAGTAGGTTTTGATGCCGGTTCCAAGTGAATTGTATTATCTGGTAGCTGACTAAGCATGAGTGACTTGTGGCTCTTTAGCTTATGAGCAAGTGTCATAAATATGGCTTCCACATGATCATTGTCATTTGGGTTTTTAGCAGAAGTTTCAAATAGTGGCATACCATGAGTGTCAGCAAATTTCTGAGCCACGTCTGTAGGCACCTGAATTGCATTTCTCAGATCGCATTTATTTCCAACCAAAATCCGGGGTATATCATTGGTGAGCAAGTGTTGTTTGCATTCTTCAATCCACAGTGGCAAACTATGAAAGCTGGCAATATTTGTCATATCGTATACAAACACAACCGCGTGTACGTTCCTGTAATAATGCTGCACCATGCTCTTCCTAAATCGTTCCTGTCCTGCTGTATCCCAGAGCTGGATCTAGAGGTTGGAAATGAAGAAAAGGGAATGAAAGAAAGACTATAAACAAACAAACAAAGGCAATAAATAAATTTGTTTTTATTTGTTTTTTAATGGTTTTTGTTATTTTTTTCTTATTTATATAAGCTTTATTTTTTTAATTTTTATTTTTTTAACTTTGTGAACCACCCTGGGTGGTGAGATGGGTAGCTATATAAATAGAATAAATAAAAACAAATAATACATCATAATAGATTTAAAAATTGGAAATCGCTGACTTATTTACACCTTAGACTAAAGTTGTAATTGCAACAAGCAGTCTTTTGAAAAGAAACAATTTTCTTAGGCTTGGCCGTAGGTCCTTATGAATTCCCTTTTATCCAGTAATTCAATCCATAGCTGCTGTGTGCTTTCTTGGGCAAATATAGTGGTAGACAATGGAACAGGGGTCTCACAGATGATAGTAAATTTAGGGTGCTATCAGTGAAAAAAGACTGAGAACCACTGCACTAGATGCTTTTGCACATGTCAATGTATCTGTCTTCCCTTCCCAGGTAATACAGAATTTCTCTTGTTTTGCCTCTGTTGAAAAAACACAACATTCTTCATGGAAAAAGGAGAGAACACAATTAGAACCAGCTGCCTTTACCCTTCTATCACGTGACATAAACTTGTGTCATCCCTGCACAGCACAATAACGGCTATCAGCGGAGTCGCTGACTCCCATTTCAAGGTTTATGGTCTTCGGCACCCCGAGCCAAACTGGGGCTCTCCCGGCCCACCGGAACTTTCCCAACTCCAGCTCTCACCCGCCCTACCGAGCCAGCCGATGGCGAGGCAGGACGGGGACCGCGGTCCACCAAGAGGGGAGCAGAGGCGGCCCCAGCCTTTGCTCACCTTGATTCTCTCCTCGTCGATGTCGACGGCTCGCTCGCGGAAGTCCACCCCGATGGTCGCCTCCGTGCGCTTGGGAAAGCTCCCCGCGCAGAAGCGGTAGGTGAGGCACGTTTTCCCCACGTTGGAGTCCCCGATCACGATGATCTTTAAGATGCGGGAGCGCGGGGGCGGCAAGGGGCCCACGTAGCTGCTCGACAGACTCAGCTCCAGCGACGACTCTACGTCGGCCGCCATCGGCGGACCCTGCCTCCTCCCTCTGCAAGGTCCTCAGGCCCGCCCGGCAGACCAGGAAGGCGGGCGCGAGAGAAATTCGGCCCGCGGCTCAAAGCTTCCTGCTCCGCGCACGGTCTGACGCGACGCCGCCGTCGACATCCGTACAGCCACCCAGGGAGGCCGGGGGGGCGGGACGCTCCAGACAAGGACGACGGCAATTGGCGTAAGAGAGGCGCCCCTTTTCTCCTCCTTACCGGAAAAGCGAGCGCGACTCAGCCTAAGATACCGCGAGAGGCGGGAGGGGGGGGGTTAAGACGCCCTTCGCTGGGAAGATGGTGGCGTTTCGGGGTCGATCTCTCGCGGAGCGATGCGGGTTGTAGAGAGGTTTGGCACCGTTTTTCCCATCTGCTGTAGAGCAGCATTGCTAACCGTCTGCCGTTGAACTCGAGCGCCGCCAGAGAGAAAAAACGTTAACTTTGGGGAAATAGTATATGAGCGGAAGGAAATGTATCTGTTGGGAGGCCATACTTTAGTAGTATGGAGTCCTTGGGATTCTCTGAGCTTGGCTGTTTTCTTGCAAAGTTTCGTTACCCGGCTAGGTAACATCTTCAGTGCTAGAGTGGAATGGGGTTTGCAAACCCCATTCCACTCTAGCACTGAAGATGTTACCTAGCCGGGTAACGAAACTTTGCAAGAAAACAGCCAAGCTCAGAGAACCCCAAGGACTCCACAGTTCAACCCTCAGCTACATATATTCGCTTCTCTTGGTACTTTAGTAGTATTTGGGGGCTTAAGCTTAGGTGACCTTGGAGAGGTGACTACTGCTAAGGCAGTGCTTCATAGAGGTTTAACATCTAGCCTTGGATATCAGTTGTTGACCAGCAGCAGCTGCATTGCCTTCGTGGCTTTTTGGCAAATACTGGAATCACAGCATTAATCCACAAAATTAATAACTGTGAAAAGCATTATAGAGAATTTAGCATGTGATATATAGCCTATTGCACACCAACACTAGATCCATGAACTCATGTTAGCACAGAGCAGTTCCCGCAGTTTACCATCAAGGACCGCAATCAGCTCTTATAGTGATGTATTTGTCCTTAAGCGGGAGCATTTCCCCTCCTTATTCCATTTTTCTCTCACTGCAGAAAGAGCGAAAACGAGAGCCCTTTCAAACATAATATGTAACTTTAATGTAAAATAGTAAATCCATAGGTAAAAATGGATTTCCTTCAAGTTAAGTTCAATTCTTGGTGACGTACTGAACACGCTTATGTTTTCTTGGCAACAATATAGTGCTTTGCCATTTCCTTCTGGGATGCCCTTCTGAATGCAGAATGTACAATACTTCACAGGGATTTTCTGATGGTCTTTATCAAGTACTGGCCAATTCTGACCCTGCTTAGCTTTCTGAGATCAGCCAAGATTGGATAGGTACTGCCACCTGGCTGGACAGTAAACTACTTTCACTACTCAAATCTTAAAAGTGTAACAATTCAAAATCTTAATGTTTTAATCATGATTTGCACATAGCCACAATGACAATATTTGTATTCATCAGAGCTGTAGTGCAAGAATCTAAAACTTAAAAGGATTTTATACTTGAGCACCAAAAACTTCCACTACAACTTTACACACATCCATTCTTAACAGTTGCATATGAAGAAAAGTTAACTTTTAAACTAGGGTTTATTTTCCCTATGGAAGTGACTAAGTATCATACAAGTGTTATCAAGAATGGAATTTTCCTATAAATACCATATTTATCTGATGAGATAACCTTGAATTTAATTCAACCCCCTGCTTCCCAGGAATATTAGATTATAACCTGTGATGATCATCTCATTTTTAATTACTTTGGAAAATGTAGTCTTCCTTTCAAATAAATAACAGTATTACAAATATTTAGTATTTGTTTCTGCAGTCATGGAAAGAAATATAATTTTTCATCTGGCCCTTTTCTTTCTGCAGTTTTAGAAAAAAAAGGTTATAAAGCCTTAAGGACCTTTTTTTTTCTTTTTAAAAATCTAAGACATTTATAGTGGATAGTTTAAAATTCACTGGTAAATTTGTCTGTCTTGATGAAATTGCAGGCTATAAAAAGCCTGGGCTATAATACACCCCACTGTTCTAAGTATAAAGAAAATGACAATTTGAAAAGAGAGTTGTTACAGAATTTCTGATATCTGAATATTTTTAGGTTACCAAATACTATGGAGGAAGAAAAAGAAAGGCTTTAAATTAACCCTCATGTAAAACCTCGTCCTTTGTCAGTATGGTTTTTAGCTAAAAAATGCAGAATGGTTGCAGTGTAGTTTTATGGCTACAGGCAGTATTTGTTACTGTGCAAAAACAGTTAAGAACAAAATCGTATCACCAACCATTATTATTCATAATAATAAAGTTACCAAGATTTTTAAATGGATAGGCTTTACCTTTGACTCTAATTTTAAATTAATGCAGTTAATATAGCATCTTTTGACTAATCACGGAAAAGATTTTCTCAGATATACTGGGCCCATGAAAATGAGGGAGTGATTAACCCCAGGGTCCACACAATTTTTGTTAGATGCACATATATCAAAAGATGAAAGTTCTAGACGAATGATCAGTCAATACTTATCTTTTAAATTGTTCTTATCACAGAAAGAGTAATGATATCTCTAAAGAGATGTACAACAATGAAAACCACAAAGTGTTAGCTGTTCGATTTTTCAGGCAGGCAATAGTTTTTAACATTTCCTACACTATACTTTAGATTTCTGATTGCAAATGTGATAATCTATATAAATTCTTGTTATCCTTGTAGGGATATATTTCACAGAGGTATTTACTACTAATTTGAGCACCCATGATTGCCAAGTTGCAAGTTATTGTTCACAACGGCAGTCATTGTGGTTAGCTTTATTGGAGAAGGAGCGCAAGAAGGGGAGTAGTGTCTCCAAACACTGTCGCATTATGCATTGTGGGATTTCACCAACACTAATATAAATCTTTTATGATAATAATATATTACACTGAACTTGCACTATATCTCCTGACAGCAGTTTTCAAATTCTATAGTCACACAACTCTTTTTCAAAACATTTTATTGCATTATATTTGGTACCTTATGTTTGACAAAGGAAATTACATCTGTAACTGCAGGGATAAGAAGCTGGTCTGTTATTGAAAAAAAATCTTGGGCCCGTTAAAAGTTACAAAGTCATGGGCTTGCCTGAAACAACTGAGCAAGAAATATATTCTTAGAAATGTAGGGCTTCAAGTATTACAAACCTGTGACACTGTGGAAAAGTTCCAGAGGTATCTAAACTGCAGCACTTTTTTTTTTCTGCATAACGTGAACAAGGCCTGCTGAGGTTTTAAACAATTAGTCTCTCAATCAGTCAAATTGGTAGTCAGGAGTTCCTCTCTCAAAAATTTCAAGCCATAGTTATATTCATTTATATTTTCACTGTACGTGAAAACTACATGCTATCTTTCTAACGAGTTGGTGCCACATCACAGTGCATAATTTCATTTGTTCTTGCATTACAGTTTTTTTAAAAATTAGCCAACAATGTTGTCATGCTCATCTCCTAAACAGCATTTTTTTTCAAAACTGAATTAAAAGAAAATATATTCTAACCAGTTCCTTCATTTAAAAACTGTGGTGCAAGAACACCAAACCGATCACGTGCAGTGAATTTCGGAGACACAACAAGCTTATTGAACACCTTATGTTTCGTTATTTTGCTTCATATTTTAAGTCCCAGTCTCTACAACAACATTAAATATGTGTTGCAGGTTTGTTTGCAAATATTGATTCACATTGCATACTTCCAAAGGGTAGAATCATCTCTGTATCAAAATCAGTCAGATGCTAAAGCCCCAACAACTTTTTGTGCTCAGTGAAAAGGATCCAGTGCTAAAACAGCATTTCTGCTGTCTGAGATACTTATCTCAACAAGACAAATTTAAAGAAATATTTCTGCCACACACCTGCTCCAATGGGGTGTTAAGCCTTCAGATTCCATATAAATTAGTTTAAAAATGGGATATGTAGATAAGGGATACTTTTCAATTTTAGCAGTGCTTAGCTTTTCTTTAATTTTCTTTAATTGAGCCATCTATTTCCAGCAATACGTTACTTTATATTATATACTTCGTCAGCAGGATAAAAAAAGTAAAACTTCGAAGGCAACTTTTTTTTCTCCTTCCATTCTCTGTAGGTTAGAACAATTCAGCAGGTGCGTGACAAAAATATTATACACCAGATACAGTCCAAAATCATTCCACTCCTTTTAAAGTTCATATTTCATTGGCCAGTTCTTCAGTTTCTGCAGATATATCTCCATTAACTGTGATCTTCATATCCTCTTCATATCCAGGGGGCATAAAAGCCAAAGCATATGGGAAAAGCTTATGACAATTTGCTCTGTACATTTCAGCTGCTTCTTTACAGTCTCCAAGGCTACCATCATTCAATGCTTCCAATACTTCCATGCATGACTAAAGGAAGAAGAACAGTATGTGTTTTAAAAGATCCTGTATTTCAGCAATTGATATAATTGCTAATTCTGATTTCATAAAGACAGTCTTGCATTTTTTCCATATTGTTACAGTTTATCTTAGGCTTAAACATTCTGCTCCCTAGAAAATTACTAAATGTATACTAGTTCTCTGGGCTATTTTATTTGAAATTTGAAATAGCTGCACCTGATAGCAAAATAATACATAATTCTTTATATCAAACAAATTTACCTGAAGATTTCTGTTTGCTAGAGATTCATCAAGTGAAGTTGCCAGTTCCACAGCTCTTTTCTGGCTTGTAGAATCCAAATAGTACACCATTTTAGCAGCTAAAAGTAGAAACAAAAATACCCATCCACACACATTTAGATAAGTATAACATTGAAACGGTGTGTATTAAATTTACTTTTATATTCAGCTACTCTGAGCCTTCTGCAAGAAATGCCCTCCTCTGTCCATGTTCTCACCAACTATAGACTCTAAGCATGTAGGTCATTCCACAAAGCCAATCTGTTTAAGATTAAAATAGGAATCACATAACTTGACCTTACACAAGAAAAAGAGTGCTGACTAATTTTTCCTTTCACCTCAATTTATAAATGCCTAAGTTTAGATAATTAGAATATCCCTTTCTGAGAACAGAAGGGCTTTTATTCGTTGCAGCTCCCATTGCTGCATCTTGTTCAACTACCACCTCCATGTTATTCCAGGGGATCCTCCAACCCTCCAGAGCAGATTTAGAGTGCAGGGTGCTGCAGCGTTAAGGAAGAATAGATCAAGAATGCTCTCCCTTTTGTCAGCAGAACTATCCTGTGAACAGAGCTTCATTGAAAATACTTTGGTATAAAACCCAATACTCACCCTTCCATATAATGCATATATCATCATGATAGATTACAAACCAGAATGTAGCTATTTTATTAGTCTTATGGAATCAAATTCTCTTAGCAGTTTACAATAAACACATAAAACCAGGATTTAAAACGCATTTACAATATTTAATTAAATGCCTAATCAAAAAGATGCACTTTTATGGCCTCTTACAGCCAAAGAAGTCAATACCGTCAACATGCAGCACTTGCAAAAACATGGAGTGGTTACAAAGAAGGCTGAACCAGTGGTGTTCCTGGGGGTGGGGGGTAAGATAGCTGGCATAGCAACATCATCAATGTCCCATCCCTTTTTATGTGCATGTGACACTGGCTTATTACAAAGCAGATAGAGGCTCTGTTTGTGTGCTGCACACTTCAGATAACCTCAGTGACCAGAATGGCAAATTATATAGAATGAGACATTATCTCAGGTAATCTGAAAGTCTGTACAGGGCTTTAAGATAGCAGTTTGGAATATGTTCTGAGCAGAAAACTGTAGGGTTACAAGATCTGGGCTGTAAGAAATCCAAACAACCACTAGATGACAGCAAAGAGATAAAAGTTTTGCATAGCTCTTTGTTGCCATCTAGTGATTGCAGTTTTGCAGCCCAGTCTAGTAGCCCTATCTTATCTCAAAAGCTGGAAAGGGATTCTACACACATGCAAAACCTACATAGAAGCTTCTTAGGGCTTTGGCAAATGCTTAGAACCCTCTTCTGATTTTTGCAAGGATACAAGGATGTCTTGCACTAGCTCTTTGCTTTGAAGAAAAGAATAAAGTCATTCCTACACTAAGAATCTCTTTTTTGTGGTAAATTTAAATCACCTTGCACAAGCTAATATATGCCCCTTCTTAAAAAATAATAAATCATTTGTATATTATCAGAAATGCAAATTGACACAGAAATCAGTATCATTTATAACATGACTGTGAAATGAAGCCTAATTTATTATTAGCACTACATAGCTGGGAGAACAAAGCACAGTTCCTCACTATTTCTTTGGTAATATTTTCAATCTCCACTAATTACAAAAATGTCACATAGTTTGCTACTCTGAGTTTCATTTATGTGTTTCTTATAACCTCTTTGGAAAATTATGCTTTCTCTTACAGCCTCTCTGGAAAGTTGGATATGAGGAAAGATTACAAATGATTTAACAGAAGTATTGTTTTTAATAATTCGACTGAAATTTCACATTTCTGACTTCAGAATACCTTTCTCAGTATCCAGCTGTGTTCAGATTATTAAGGATACCTATTGCATTATCAGATCTTGCTAACTATTTTCATTCTATTTTTGCTAAACTTATGTGTGCTGTATCATTTGACTGGCTACTTCATAAAAACAGTTCTTTAATTTTACTGTTTTTGAATCAAGTTATAATGCTATATGTCTTTTAGGATTTCAAAGAATCAATACATTTCAATTCTAATATTACAAATAGATATGTGAACTAAACACTAGGTAATTTCTTTGCAGAAAAATACATTTAAATTTGAGACAGCATTTAAACATTTGATTTGCACCCAAAAGAATACTTACTAAACCATGCAGAATTGTTAATCGTATAGTAAATATCTTTTTAAAGTAACAGAACATTAATATTAGAATATTAATATGACACTAATTAAAAGTACCAAAAGGACCAGCATGGTGCTGGACTAGGAGTGGAAAAACCCAGGTTTTAGTCTTCCCTCAGGCATGGAAGCCAGCTGACCTTAGGCCAGTCACTTGTTCTCAGGCCCAAATCAGTCTCGGGCTCTGCAACAAACCTTCTGATAAGCAAAACCCCTCATCACATCATGCCCTGATAGCACTGCTATCAGAACTAGACGAGCACAGTACAAAAACAAGCAGACCCTGCAACCACGTGGGACAAACACTAGGAAGTGTTTAAAGGTGCCAACACAATTGGTGTGTAGGATAAGGGCAAATCATCCTAAAAGTCCTAAGCAGACTTAAATACAGAGTAAAGTACATACCAGACAATCTGTGTGGTAGTGAATCATAGTGCTGTTTAAGGAAAGTTTCATTGAAGTTCTTTGGATTAGTTGCCCCAAAAAGTCGATTCATTTCTTGATTCAACACTGTCCTGACTGTTTCTGGTAGATCTTTGCTTTCAGAAACTACAGTATTAAGAACATAGCATTAATTTCAGGAGAATCTATTAGGCTTTAATATCTTAAGATTTGTTATGTTGTTTCTCCTGTAATAAAAAAGCTTCAGATTGTTCTGTTGTGCCAAATAATTCTGTATATTCCTAACAGAATACAAGAAACCTATTCATTCCATTATTAAGTAGGCTGGTTTTATTTGACTAAAAATAATGATATCAACATAAAACTAGCTTATAATGAGGCAGATAATTCGTCTAGCTAGCGCAGTACTGGTTATTCTGAAAGGCACTGGCTCCTTTGAATCTTATGTTTGCTTGCAACTCAAGATACCTTAAATAAGAGATAGCAAGGATTGGACATGGTGCCTTCCGAATGATAAGCATAGACTTTATTGTTCAGCAATGGTTTCAGCCAGCAAAAATATACTAATTTATCTACATAATTTTAAATTAAGGTATCGTTTGATTTCTGTATCATTTGTTGCTGAATACAAATTTCATAGGGATTGTGATAGATAATTTTGGACATGGAAAGTGCTGGGGAGAACTGCATGTTTAGTGAGGACAAAAAATATTTATACACAACTGAGTGAGGGAACTGGATACGAGAGAATGAACTTTGACTAACCTTTGGGATTAGATTCTTTTAAATTGAGAACTCGAAAGGTGTAGTAAAAAGAAGTTCCCAGCAATCTACCCTTGCAACTATCTAAGCTTAGTCCAATTGTTCTTTTTGTTAATATTCACGTATTTCATCAAATACTCTAGTTCAGTACACTGTTAAGTACTGCGTAAACTATATTTATAAAAAAAATGAATTTGCATATATAAAATTGAATTATTTTAAAAAATTACTATATAACACTTCATTTCAAAGAATACATGGAGTAAGAGAGGCAATGGAAATATACATAGCAAAAACAATTTCTAAACTGAGTTTGTTACACTAAGTAATACAGTCGTACACATTTTTATTTTTAACAACCTAAAGTATATTTTATCACACTATGCAAATTCTACTGTCATTTTAAAAAACTCAATAATTAGTAACAAAAAATATGTATCTGAATAAATTCATTATTCATTTCCTCATTACCAAGAGATGATTACATCTCTTCTGGAAGTTTGACTGCTAGATTACATAAGATTCATACCACTGCTGAAGAGATGTATCATGCACTCATGAAGCCATGGATGACTAGGATCAATAGCAAATGCTCTCTTCACAGACTGTAGCATGAGAAGAAATTTTTCTGTATGAGACAAAATTACAAAATATTCTCCATAATCAGGAATACAAACAGAACATCCAATTATGTTTTACAAGTGTAAATATAATTTGAAATTATAAACATACACATCCTGAATGTGTTGTCAGTATACATCATATATCTCATAGCTGGTGAGATATGGGCAATTGCAGGTTGGCTTACAAGGCTGTCTCTGCAGAGCTCTTGGCTTGCACAGAATAAGGTGAAAAAGCATAAGGTAAAACTGGACTTGTGCTTATGGCATATTGGCCAAAATGTACCTAAACTGACAGGTACACTCACATGAATACTGCATGTGGCACAGCTTTAACCAAGGCAAGGTTAAGGAAATCTTTACTCAGATAGCACAGCACCCAACAATATATTTATCTCTAAATAAAACTCCATATTTAAATGTAAAAATACCAACATTAAACATTTTGAATATTAACAAGCTCTTAAGGAGTCCATCAAATGTTACAAGATTTTAGGTGTTTTTATACGGCTAGTCAGACTTTGGCTAATTTTCCTATTTGATTTTCCTATTTTGATTTTTTACTTGTGAAAGTTGCTGACTTCTGCTTAAGCTGGGGTGATTAATATATACATAAAAAACAATGCTTAAACAGTAATACAAGAAAAAATACTGCAGATTTTATTTAATTATCATAATATCTTTAAATTGAAGATAACTTTTAAATAGTTGGGAAAGGTTTGATCACTGTACACATGCACATTTTTACTTTACTAATTCAAGGCAAACCAAAAAAATACAGCATAAAGAAAATGGGTAGATTCATGTTCTTTCCAAGTTTTGCATGTATCTCTTTAGAAAGATGACCTTATACCTGAAAACATACTACTGTTCATTCCTATGCTACAGTATTTTCCATTTACCTTTCCTGAAGTAAATTTCAAAGGCAAAAAGATGGGTTTCTATTTTGTTCTTCACCAAATTCTTCAACGGAGTTAAAAACTTAATAGCTTCCTCCAAAGGTGCTTCAACCTAAAAATGAGCGAAAAAAATCTTGCCAAAATTAAAAAAAAATTCAAGGAGATCAAAATACCTATTGGACGTGAATGGTTATTCTATCTATCTATATCTATATCTATAAAAAAAACTAGAGCCTCTTAATTCTTAATACCTAATGTCACCAAGTTGAAGGAATACTGTAGACTTAGCCCTGGCCCAAATCTAGGCCTTCTTCCTTATAAGTGATAGCTGCCATTCATTACTATTGGGGAAAAGTAGTGTGGTGAGAGAAAATTTTTAAATCCTTTAAAATTATCTTTGATCCTACAATACAATGACTTACAATGTGACCAGAGTTTTATCTAATTCCTATTGCTAAAGAAATCAGGTAAAACAAAGAACACATACAACACAGTGTCCTATATCATGTCTTTATTGAACACCTTGAGCCAACATCTACTATCTATTGGAAAAAAAAATTATAAAGCCCTAAGATAATCAGCTCTTTTAAGGGTGTAAGTTGTATCAAATGTTCCAATCAGTGAGCTGACATCAGGCGTGAATTTAAGAGGCCCTCCCTTATTTAAAAAAAAAAAAAAAAAGTTGGCTGCCATCATCAGTCTGCAGGTCTGTGGAAGCAAATCATGCCCTGATCAAAATATATCTCTAGACCTCAGAAAAAGAGTTTTTGTTCCTCATGAGAACAAAGGGCTACAAAACCACTGCCAAAGATTTCAACCTCTATCAGGCAGATAACTGAGAAAATGTAATTCCATTATTTGCTAAAGATCACATGGATGATCTAGCATCTAGCTAGAGGAACAATTCTCTGGACAGATGAAATGGGAGTGGACTTTTGGACATTAATGAGAAACATTATGCTTGCAGAAAATGAAAGAAGCCATTCCAATAAAAGAATGTCATCTCAGTAGTGAAGCACAGCAGTGGGCATATCACTGTTTGGAGCTGCTTTGGAATCCCAGGATCTGGACAGTTCACAGTAATTGAGGGAACAACAGATTCTGGAACTGTACTAGCAAGTTCTACTAGAGAATTGTAGAGTATCCATCTGTGAGCCAAAGTTTAAACAAATGATTTGTGTAACCTGACAATGATTCTAAGCACACATGTGAATCTATGGCATAATGGCTGAAGTGAGAGAAATTTCACATTTTATAATGGCCAAATAAAAGCCGTGACCTTCACCCAAATAAAATTGGGGCAACAGTTCACGAAAGACAATCTCAAAGGATCAACAGGTTGAAGCAGTTCATGACCCAAACACCTTTAAGCAGATGGGCAGGACTGATCAACAGGTACTGGAAATGGTTGAAGTCATTCTGCTAAAGGAGATAACACCAGTGACCAAATTTAAAACTGCACATACATTTTCTAATAAAGGCAGTGGATGTTAGCTCGATGTGTTTAATAAAAACACGACACAGTACAGTGTTTTGCTTGTTTAATCAGAATATTTTTAATCATCAACAACTCTTTGATGAAGTTCACATCACAAGGTAGAATACTGTACAATTACAGAACCTTTTAAAGGGTTTACAAACTTTCACCACTGTAAGGTGCTACTTAATTCTTATGTTGTGGTGAGAGAAACATCTAGTCTCCTGATACTGTTCTTCAATTATAGGTTTCCACAGGTGAGGAAACAGGTGAGAAGATTTATAATATATAGTACTTTCTCTCACATACTACACTGGAACATAATTAATTTAGCAGCATTGTCCATATACTGGAAAAACATTTGTGCTTATCTCTCCAGCAGATGATATAGCTGTGGGAATGCTGCTTATTTTATAAAAAAATAATCAAATCACAAAGGTGTTAACAGCACTATGTTCAGAGCCCAAGAGAGAATCAGAGTTTGGTTGGGAATGTTTTAGCTGCCTCAGTAACCAGACAATGAATATCCACCTTTGCAGTTCAAAATGAGGCAATTAATAAAAAACTAAAAAAAAGTCTGTGTCTTAATGAACTGAAAGAGGTAGAAAAGTAAAAGCAATCCCATTGAGATTTCTATTGCATTAAATTGTCTTAAAAAGAATTAAAAACAGCAGCCCCCACCCTGCAGAACACCCTCACCCCTGAGATTCAGCTGGCCCCCACCCTTCTAATCTTCTGGAAGGCTGGCTCTTCCCCCAAGCATTGGGATAGGGTGAGGCTAGAGCCCAGTAATTGTGATGGTTTATGTAGTGGGGAATGTTGTTTTAGGTTATTTTTTTGGATGTTGGTTTTTACTATTTCTTTAATGTTTTTATTGTTCTTGTTGTGAGCTGCCCAGAGTAATGATACATAAGATGGGCAGCCATATAAGATTCATAAATAAATAAGTTAGCTGCCAAGAACTTGACAGGTGTTGTCAGAGTTCTCTCTTGGTTGTAATAATTTAACACGTTGGCAAAATCTGACCCAGAAGTTTAAGGATGACATTATTTTCACTGCCATTTCAAGTACTGTAGTAAGAAGCCTCTAGCTACAAATATTTCACCATACTGCCAAATATTTACCTATCCTTGGAAGCCAACATTCTAGTACAAGATTATCAATCTGCAAGATCAGTGAAAAAAAAACTTTCTTCTAAACAAGAAAAGCTTCTTAATTCTCCAGAATGAAGTGATTACAAATTTCTTCCTGATATTGTTTTAAAAATGAGCAAGTTCTTTTAGAAGTTGCATAGATCTAATGAATCATCTGACAATTCAAAGAAATGATTCTGTTTGAACCATTATTCAAGGAAGCTCAATTACAGTACCTTGTATTAAATGTTTCATGCTCTAAGAAGGTAAGTATACCTTCTTCCCTTAAACTAGGTCCCACATAGTCCCTTATTTCTGCCTCAATATAAAGGTATAAAAAACAACAAAGGAACAAACTTTGTGGCCTATTCTTACATTGGCCTTACTTTTTAATATAAATATTCAGAACTGCTACTCTTCAGTCAATGACCTAACTTTTGGGTCAAATTTCTCAGTAATACCAGAAAACTGTATCAGGTTCTGTGAAATCTGTGATACGCCTTGTTGCAACAGTATGTGTCAAGATGTGAACTGAAATTATTACCCTAGCTGAGTGGCCATGCAAAGGATTATTGAATAGTCACCCTTAAAGTAATATACTATGAATGAATATTTTTTTATTTCAGTGAAACCTCAATTTAGCAGATATTAACACAACAGAACAAATTTCTAGAGTGATTTATGGCATTTGCCTCAATTCATGCATTTGCATAATGAAGTCATTATGTAAATGATGTAAATCACTGCAATGATATACTTTCATGTTTAACAGACATCTGTGAATAACTCACAATTACAGTGTTAAAATGAGATTTAAATGGAGTTCTGTAGAAATGCTTGTGAAGCCATTTAACATACTATAATTTGGTACCTTTGCCAATTTCTCAGGAATAAGCTCTTCCTTTGGCCCTCCAATTTCTTCATCATCATCGTCTTTTTTCTTTTTCTGGTTTCGTTGCTGCTTCTCTTTTTCAGCATTCTTTTTCTCCTCTTCTAGTTGAGCTTTTTTCTGAGCTCTCCTTTGCTTATTGCGTAGCTTCTTTAACTCCTTATCAGACATGTTTGCTTTAGAGAAAAACAAACTTGGTTGTATATTAAAAAATTCATTTTTTATCTAGTTTTCAAATTATGCATCTATTTAAGTTTTCTAGTCCAAATCTTTCAAGCTCAAAATTGACTTGAAAGTACATATAACAAACTACCTAATTTTATCTCCAAAGTACTTGCACTGTTACCCTCTAGTGTCAGCCTCTTTTGAGGGAGGGGGTGGTTCTGCCTATCTTGAAGGAGGCAGAAGTACACCCCCTTCTCAAGAAGCCATGATAGGACTCAACAGTCCTGGGCAATTTTTGCCCAGTCTTCAACCTTTCCTTTTAAGGTTGTTGAAGGCCCTGGATGAAACACAACATCTTGACCTTTTCAGTCAGGTTTCAGTACTGAGCAACATTTGATTGTGCTTGTTCATGATCTCTGGCAGATCATGACAAGGGTGGTGCAACCTTCATCTCACTGCTTATGAGGATTGGAGGGGGGCATGGTGTTATAATGGTTTTCCTTCTATCTCTGTGATTAGTTCCAGTCAGGTGTTTTTTGGAGGGGGGGTTGACAGTTTAAGCCCAAGGCTTCTGATGTGTGCAGTTCCATGGAGCTCTTGACCCTCCTGTTTAATATATACATGAGACCAGTGGGTGAGGTTATCAGACAGTTCAGGGTGAGGTACAGTGCATTCAGAAAGTCTTCAGACCCCCTTCACTTTTTTCAATTTTGTTATGTTGCAGCCTGATACTACAATCATTCAAATTCATTTTTTTTCTCATTAATCTACACTCAGTACCCCATAATGACAAAGTGAAAACAGAATTTTAGAAATGTCTGTAAATTTATTAAAAAGGAAAAACTGAAATATCACATTGGCATAAGTATTCAGACCCTTTGCAACAACACTTGAAATTTAGCTCAGGTAAACAGAATTTTAGAAATGTCTGTAAATTTATTAAAAAGGAAAAACTGAAATATCACATTGGCATAAGTATTCAGACCCTTTGCAACAACACTTGAAATTTAGCTCAGGTGCCTCTTGATCATTACTGAGCTGCTTCTACACCTTGACTGAAGTCCACCTGTGGTAAATTAAATTGATTGGACATGATTTGGAAAGGCACACACCTCTCTATAGAAGGCCTCACAGCTGACAACGCATACTGTATCAGAGCAAAAGCCATGAGGTCAAAGGAACTGCCTGCAGAGCTCAGAGACAGGATTATTGCAAGGGGCAGATCTGGGGAGGACTACAAAAAA